AAAATATTATTAATAATATTTAACGTGTTTTAAAATTAATTTTTTATATTAACAACAATTTCATAATTTTTTGTTCTTATTAAAATGTTTGGCTTAAATTCTTATATATTTTTTGATGTACTAAATATTTTAATTTTTTTTATCTCTTTCGGTAAAAATGCATACACATTGGTATATATTTGCTATTTTTATCACTTAACACACTCTGTGTGAAGAAAATCGGTCAAGAAACACGTCCAGTAGCCTGAAAGTATGCAAAATTTGCCGCAACACGCTTTTATCAGGCAAAGCATTTAACCCAGCTGTAATTTTGGAAGCTAAACAAACTTGAAATTTTATAATTATTAATTAATACATTTTTTGTTTTGCATTTAGCAACTTTAGTTAAAATTAATGAAAATCAGAAGTAAATTTGTCGAAAAATATTAAAATAACTACAATATTTCATTATTTGATCAACAACATAACAGTTTGCAAAGCAGTGCCGCTAACTACACTGCCTTGCCGACAACAAAACTAATCGCAAATGCCTCCAACGCGCACATGTTGCCACATTATCGCCTATCAACAGCACCAACAAAGTGGCAACACTAACGCTATTTGTCATTAAAACCAATTGATTCCCACTCACCTGCATACCCCTGCACGCCCACATACTGCACTTTAACATGACATTAGCTAGCATAGCGAGCGGTATCAGCGAAAATAGCTGAAGCCACAGCCAGCAGTTTGTTCTTTTTCCTAGTCAGTTGACGTTTGGTCGAACCGTGTGGTCGCTCCGGTCCAACAGTTCTAACACTAGGCAGTAAGTTTAGTTAGTCAATCAGTCAGTCAGTCCTTTTGGTAAACTCATCAAGTGCGATTGCTGTGCTTGTGCTGTGTGCGGTTGAGTGGCAGTGCAAAATCCGCTTTGCTACATACATACAAAATATACATATTACATACATACTGCTTTAGCGAGAGCGCACACAGTTTGTAAGCATTGTGTTAAAAAATACAAATAAATAAAAATTTGGAAATTTTGTGAATATAAGCGCGTGTGCGGCATAATCTTCTTTTATTTTTTAAGTAAATTTTAGCGATTTAGCAAGCAAGCATTAATAAGAAAATTAAAAATTTTAGCAAACAAAATTTCACAGTAGCAATTTTTTTTGTTTGTTGTTAGTCGTTTGCAAGGATTTTTTACTGATTTTCTGTTTTACTTTTTCCTTTTGACAAAAGAGTTAAGATTTACACGCCGCTGCTGACACATTTTAATTGAACGTGGAAAATGTCGATTTATCGTATTTCAACGCGTAAGCTGCCCGAGGCGCAGGTGAGTAATAGCATTCATGTAATACATGAAAATAACACTACCATCATAATTAAATATGTGTGAAGGAAAAATGCTTGAGCTTGTGTAAAAATTCATTAAAAATATTAAAAGTTAGTTAATGTAAAAAAATAGTAAAAAAAAAAAGCAAATAAAAGTGAAATCAAAAGCACAGCGGCAGCAGTCAACGTCGACGCCAGCGTTAAAGCAAAACCTCTAGTAACTAGCAAAGAGCACATGGAGGCAAAAACTATAACTTCTATAGACTGTGCGTGAGTACGTGACTGCTGGCCTTTGTAATGCTGCGCTTACCTGTGTTAGAAAAGTTAGAAACAAGAAAAAAGCATTAAAAGAATTGTAATTTGAAAAGTAGTGAATGTAGTGAAAATGAGTACACGCGGCAAGCAGCGAAATTTGCATAACACGTTGTAAGGAAAATTTTCATTGCTTAAGCAGCAGCAGCGGACTGCGAGACGAACAGACAGACAGACAAACTGCACTAACGGCTAGAAAAACCACTTTACATAAAAGGCAGCGGAATTAAAATACAATTTTATTTCATTTAAAATTGGAGATGTATGATTTGGAAAGATTAATGAGCAAATTTTAGCGCTGATGAGCATGGCCACATGACGTAAGGCTAAAGGCAGTGCTGGCGGCGCGCTGTAGTCCGGACTATCAGCGCTAAGTATAATGCTGACACACATACATATGTACATATATACTTATGCACATTGCCTTCCGTTCTCGAACATTTTTGTATGTTATATTGTATATTTTTTATGGTAAAAATTGGAAAAAAAAGAGCAAAAATTAAAAAAGCAAAATAAATGGGGTGTAATTAGAGAATTATAATTTTCAACGGTTAAAATTAGCGAAAAATCGAAAAAAAATATATTGAGAATTTGAGAATTTTATTTTTCGACGGTAAAAATTAGGAAAAAATCAGGAAAAAAACAAAAAAAAAAAAAAAAAATCAGGAAAAAAAAAAAAAAAAAAAACAGGAAAAAACAAAAAAAAAAAAAATCAGGAAAAAAACAAAAAAAAACAGGAAATAACAAAAAAATCAGAAAAAAAGTAAAATGAGTGTAGTAGTATTATGTAGAAGACAAGTTCAAATAATAACATAAATAACTGTAGCACTCAAAAATGGCAAAATAATACGGTGTCTTGAGTCACAAGACAAATGGCGAAGCGGTTTACAGTTTCCTTTTACTATTTACGCGTTGTTTTTATGAGTACGTTTAATTCACAATTTTCTTTTGCACTCTTTAAATTCTACTATTATTTATTTATTTTTTGTTTACTAATTTTTATTTAAATCATTTAATTCAGTTTTTAATTTTCTTCATATTGTTTAATTAATATATAATTTTAAATTTTACTAATTTTGTTTTACTATTTTTTATATTTAATAATCTATAATAATATTATTACTTAGCATTTTTTTTAATTTTTTAATTTAACTATCTTTTCTTTATCCTTTTTTTTTATTAATTTCTTAAGTTATTGTATATTTACCTTAATTTCTTTATATAAAATTGAATACAATTTTTTCTTTTTTTTTTGAATAATATTTATGCCAAACCATTCAATTTCAACCACACAAAGCCCCAACGCTGCCATCAGCGCCAGCAGCGCAAATGTAAGAACACAATTTCTGAATGTCGAGAACTTACAATCAATACGGTCACGTTGTTGTTGTTCAAATGAATAAATTTATATTGGCATACTTTTGCTCTTGCGAAATTTAGCACAAAAGCACAAATATTTCATAATTATTTTTTTTTATGCAAAAAAAAATCATACAGCTCTGTCTTAAAAGATATTTTTCCACGCAAATACGTGCATAAAATCGCTGCCGCCGCCGCGGTCGCAGTCCTAGTCGCTGGTGCCATTGCTGTAATCGGAAGCAGCGCGCTCTAATCGAATCACTTACGCCCGTTACTTACGCGTTACATTGGCACACTACTTGCATCAATTCTATGCGATTTGTTATTTCATTAATTCTATTTCAATTAAATTAATTAATTATATTTACTATATTTAACTTTTTCGCATTTTTATCTAATTTTTTCTAACTGAAAATTCACAAAAAATTTTGTTAACTGCAAATCGCAAAGAAACGCTACGCTACTCCCACTGGCGCTCATTTGCGCTCTCCCAGCAATTTTACAACAAACATTTCATTGTTGGCGCGCTGTTGTGCGGAAGTTAGCCACCGCTTTTGAGAGTATCTACTAGAATTCTCTCGCTTGTTTACAAGTGCAACAAAAACATTGAAAACTAATAATGAAAAGCAAAAAACAAAAAAAACTCGTGGGAAAATATTATTTACAGCACACCACAATAACAAATGGCAAGTGCTTTGCTGGCATTAGTGAAAAACTGATACTATTGCGCG